CAGGCTGGTGAGACCCCCACATAGCTCTGGTGAGACCCTACAGAGCCCTGGTTAAAGCAGGGCTTGGTAGGGTCTCACCAGGGCTCTGTGGGGTTTAACCAAGACTAGTGAGACCCCACTGAAACCTACTTTAACCAGGGCTACGTCAGTGCTACAGTTTGAATTTAAAACGTATTTGTGTGAAGTGTGAAGTTAAGTCATGGATTGAACAGAAATATGAACAATTATAAAATACTTTATTATTTCATAATAAAGTAATTATAAAATAATGTCTTTGTGTTTATTTGATTCCTATTCAAGAGAATTACTTTATATATAGTCAATATAGGCACAGAGGTAAATTTTTTTAACATTTTCTAATGGTGGTGTGCCTCGTGATTTTTTTCATGAAAAAAGTGTGCCTTTGCACAAAAAAGGTTGAAAAACACTGATATAGAGAGTTTAGGTAAATAAGACTTCTTCCATGTTGGAGTAACTTGTTGATTGTTTCACACTTGTAATTATTGCGTCACATCTTTGAGAAAATTCTAGTAATTCTAGATGAATTCCTGTACAGTCCAGGGCCAAGGGGGCATGGGAAGCCAAGCAAGGCAATCTACAGACTTTAATTGGGGCCCACACATAAGACGGGTCCCAGTTTAAGCAGAAATTCCTCAGGTGCTTTGGACCCCTAATAGCGCTAACAACATTTGCCTGAAAGAATTATGCATGTCATACAGAACCATTATATCTGAATGGTCATGCTGCAGTACCCGAGGTGATACTGCATGTGACATCTACAATCCTCGCCAAACTTGCCAGTGAATAGAGCACTTGGAAGCTTTCTTTTACAAAATTGAAAAACCTTTAACAATAGATTTATAGGACTGGTCTGTCACCAAGAAAGACAGGTAGTTGATACTGTCTGTAGACACCAAAATAACTGCCTAGCTGGGAAAGGTTGCCAATTCCTCCTTCAATGTTCATGAAATCTGTACATTAGGGTTAGGCAGGCTCAGCAGTGCAGCTGTGGTGAAACTACAGATCCCATCATGCCTCTGCATGTGGATGTCAGTCATGCATGTGGCTGTCAGAGTTTCACAATGCCTAATGGGATTTGTAGCTGTTGAGGTTGACTACCCCTGCTGTAAATCATACAGGTTTTATAATTACTTAGAGCCTTTCTGTGCTCATGATTTACTACAGAAAAGGGAAGATATGTTTATAAGCCATTTAATACCCCCATCAAATAGTTCATTAAGGTCCTATTTACACCAGTTTTGTGTTTCTGCAGAACGAGCAGTAACTCAGATCACATATGTTGGTACACTGTGGTCACATTCATGGTAAATGGCACCCCAATGCACCTGCATTGCAGTTAATGCACTACCATGCATTGTGCTATGCTAGTGAAACTTGCTGCGGGGGGGGGGGGCAATTTTTTGGTCTATTGTAGTGCAGTAGGCAGCCCATTAAACAAATTGCCATAAACCACCCTGATCCTGATGTAAATGGGTTTTAAGACTGTTTATAAATTAGGATTTTTAATTTTTTTTTTACTATCTCCTTTGCTGATTACAGTGTGAACATAATATGGTTTTTATTCCTAAATGGTAACACAAACACAGAGAAAATCACAATTTGATTTTATGCTCAACACCATCTGGAGAACAAATCTACCATATATATGCGATATGTGTATATATATATCTATATCTATATCTCTATATATAGATATAGAGATATAGATATAGATATATATATATACACACACACTTGCTATTTAATTTCAGTTCATAACAGAACCTGTGTGATTCTTTTTTCTGTAATTAAATGGATGAACTAGCAATCTTGCCACTGCGACCCAACACAGCCTCCTCCCCATTTAGGCTAATGATACAAAGCAGTCACATGCAGGGAACGGTTCCTCCTTGCTGCATGTAATTACTCAAAATAGTATCCTATTGTCAGGGCAAAAATCAGCAGCCTACAACAGGATCAAAGTATGTTCTTCTTCAATTATTTCATTATACAATCTTCTTTCTACATATAATGAAATACAAATGCTACTGCTCCAGAATGTACTGTATATCGTATAGGTACAAGCAAGTCATGTTATCAGTATAGGCAGTATCAATAATTAAATATCAATGGACCATTACAAACCCTCCATGTAAATAAAATCTATTACATTCCATCTGGCAACATTCACACATATGTATTTCCCACACCTGTACAGAAACTGCATCCTTCCTAAGGCACTGTATTGCTATATGAAAGCTGTTCTATTAAGCAAAAGTACATATTGGTAGTTTTCTTCTAGGAGCTGCTACACGGGTTGTGCTGGAAAATATCGATCCACGTTACATCTTCTGCTCTGATTGTCTCCTGAATGTTTTACAGATTTATAAAAATAATCACAATTGCTTTGATGTTTGTATGATAACTTAGTAGCAATACTCTATATGGGTCACTTTAGTAACTGACATGCTGCTTTACAGCACAGAATCTACTGAATACTCCAATTCACTGATGAATATGACCTCTTATAAACCCGTCCTTTCCCTAAGAATTCATGTGTAAATGTTTTTGATGCTTTTTATCAAGGTCACACTCATCAGACATTCTTTAAAGAGCATCAATTGTTTTTGCAATGCAGGATCGTTGAAAAGAACACAGTGACATATAATAATGTGAAAACACTTTGTTGCTGCAGACATTTGATATGACTGGTGATATGTTATTACTGGAGTGTGACCAAATATCCAAGTGTGACTAATTCAAAGCAAATACATTGTAGCAGTTCACACTGCCGTCACGAGTTCACCACTGCCTTCCAGCGAAAGCTTAAACTGCATCTCTAAGGAAAACCTTACAGTGGGGAAGGGTGAGACCCTCTGTCAAGTTTTTATGGCTGCCTGACTCCCCATTGGGGAGATTAACCCCTCCACCTATACTGGGGACCATTGTTATGGAAGCAGAGAGGGAGGGCATATCCAAAATTTTGTCCCCAGAACAAGAGGTAAGGGGAAATTATTTTATTGGGGACATCTGTTCTAGGAAAAACTGTGAATTCCCCTTACATCCTGTTGTGTCTTTGGAACAATAAGTAAAGGACAATTTCCTCAATGGTACACAGACAGTGAAAAATAATAATGTGGGAGAGGTTTTATCCCTTCCCTACTCCACCCACAACTAAAAAAAGTTATGGCTTCACATATACTTTAATATGTTTTAGAAATGTATCAGAAGTGCACAGCCTAATAAGACTCAGACAGGTTCAGAAAGGGAAAACACCCATGACATAGGATTCAGAGAACACTATGGGCTTCCTAAGAAGAGAGCACATTTGTTCACTCTCTCACTCCACTATATATTCACAATAATTAGTTTAAACAGTATCTCACATCAGACAGCTATATCATAAAACAGATATATGACCCCAGCTAGGTGGTATGTCTGGACAGAATAAGGAGGGTGCACACTTATTATTCTGCTTCCTTCCTGAAACTAGGACATCACACATGGCTAAACACCATCCTGAGCTCTTGTTTTCCAACAAACCCATCATTTTCTGATAAACCCATAAATAAATACCAAGCTTCCAAGTCCTATTTCAACTTTCAGCTGCTGCCATGTTGCACCTTTCAGGTACTTACACGAACGACTTACAAGAATAGATGAACTGAAGAGTAAATGTATACTGTACATTGATAACAAGCAGTCCTCTGCTTCTTCTAAGCCTAGACTCCGCTACATGTATCTAAAATGGCAGGGCCAGCGTGGTGAATCTCTGACAACAGGAAAAGAATGGCAAGCCCATATCTAATAGGGCTAATTCCCATAGCCATATTATACATGGCTATCTAATATGCACATGCACTATGTGCATAATTGTGCAAGACACCAAGCTGTTTACAATACCAAAAAACAACAAAAAGAAAACCAAAACAAAAGAAAGGATAACATGAACTACTTACTAAGGCACTGTCCATGTTCTTGTAATTGCTGTGTGTTCTCTTATTGTGGAAAGGTTCCGCAGATCCAGCGGAGGTGGACGCACTGCAAACACAAAGGTTTAACGTTAGTAAATAACATGGAACACAGGGATGTTCAATGAAACTTCCTTGCTTTTGAGTGAAATACCACTGACAGGACCAAAAAGAGAAACAGCAAAATGTATGGTCTTAGCTTGGCCATAAATTACCAAATCCTGTCCAAATCTAATGGCTTGATGCAACAATCTTGTGCAAATGGGGCTGAAGTAGCATACCTAAATAGTAGGGCTGCGGAAATTAACGATTAATCCCTCGATTAATCGTAAAAAATTTTGATCGATCAAAATTCTTGATTGGTACTCACCTCTCCGCCGGCTTCTGGGTCTTCCGGGAGTTCCGTCGGAGATGTCCGTGACGTCACTGGACTCCTCCCCCCCTTCCCCAAGTGGCTATGTCGGCTGACGAAGGGAAGAGCAGTCTGGTGACATCGATGTCCGTGACGGCTAACGAAGGGAAGGGGGGAGGAGTCCGGTGACGTTGATATCCATGATGTCACCGGACTCCTCCCCCTTCCTTTCGTTGGGCCAGTGAGTTTGGGTATTTTGATCACCCTAATTCTTTCTTTAGTGGGATGTAATTTACTCTGGCAGAGACTGCAAGTTGTACAACTTGCAGTCTCTGCCAGAGCATGGCTGCTGTGAGTCACAGCACATCATTGTCTTCTGCACTCAGTTTTAAAGGGAAATTATGATTGTTTTGGATTTGGATTGGAGCGAAAAAATCTGGAGCAGTTGCCTATGGCAACCAATCAGCTTCTCACTTCAGTTTGTTCAGTTAAGCTTTGAAAAGTGATGCTGATTGGTTGCCATGCACAGCTGCTCGAGATTTTGTCTGCTCCAGTTTTGATACATTCCCCTCAATTTATTTTAAAGTGTATATGTTTATAGTGTATACCACATTTACCATTTACTAATGCAGAGTTGCAATGCAAGCAGATCAGCTAAAAGTAGTTGGATCTGCATGTGTGTTATAATTAATCGAAATTAATCGATTAAAAAAAATTGATTAATCGAACAGGAAATGTTTAATCAGTAACAGCCCTACTAAATATTGTTTAACAGATTTTGGTGCCATCACATATTCATAGTATAACAGTCATAAAAATCTTAATGTGTTAACACATAAATAAAAAAGGGCAAACAAGGTCCTGTAAAATTAAGGGGTCTATTCACGAAGCTGCCGAGGGCAGCCGAGTGAATGACCGATCTGAAGTGAAGTGAGCCGAACACTGTTCGGCTATTCACTTGAGGCTGGTACGGCTAATTTCAGCCATACATCGGCTGAAATCAGCCGTACATCGGCTTGCTTCGTGTGGCTTCGGGT